TTTTCATACATTGTTTTCGAGTGTTTGGATATCCCGGTGACACACGAGCTCGAGTTGTTTATATGGCTTCTCAAATGAATCGAGACGTAACAGAATGTTTTCGTTTGCTGATTTCAATAGAATTCTTAACCAAGCATAACGTAATTAGGAATTCTATTCAAGTAATTTTGCATGCGTAATTAAGATATTTGATGAAAACACTAGTGACTTTCATCAAGTATCCAAATGGCATCTTGTGATCAAATAGGTGATTATCACTGGCTGAATTACTCATGAATTATTAATGAATTTGAGAAGGTATATGATTCTATGATCCTATGACTCTATGATTTTATGATTTTATGATTTATGATTTTATGATTTATGATTTTATGATTCTATATGATATATGATATATGATATATAATATATGGTATTGTATATTGTATATTGTATATTGTATATTGTATATTGTATATTGTATATGGTATATGGTATATGGTATATGGTATAGTTAAGTATGCATGGTATGGTATGGTATGGCATGGTAAGGCATGGTAAGGCATGGTATGGTATGGTATGGTATGGTATGGTATTGTATGGTATGGCATGGTATGGTATGGTATGAAAGATGGATTCTATGACATTATCTCAACTTAACTCTCGTTTCTACAGAGCTGAGTATGAATGTTTCCAAATTGAACTGGCGAAGAACTATGGGGTTCCAGAGTGGCGCGAAGACGTCAAGAAAGTCATGATGAAAGCTGGGCTAGAAAATAAATCTGTCGTATTTTTGTTTGTCGACACGCAGGTATGTAAATACTTTAGCCTTGTGCTTGCCAGTGTACCTAAGTTTCACTGCCAGAAAGCCTTCGACTCGATCTGGTTGAGCTGTGTCCTTCGCAATAGACCTTTCCCCTTTTGAGTGAAATTTTGATCTAGACAAGCCTGGACAAAAATTTCATCACAGCTTGAAAGAGCATCACAAAATTAGTAATATTCCGAAGTTTCGTTGCGAAATGTTATAAAATGCGGATAATATAGCCTTGCGAAGTTTGCCGTTTTTCAGTCCTTTTGCATTACAAACGCGGGAAATTGGTAATCGTTTGTAATACAAAATGACTGAAAAACGGCAAACTTCGCAAGGCTATATTATCCGCATTTTACAACATTTCGCAACGAAACTTCGGAATATTACTAATTTTGTAATGTTCTTTCAAGCTGTGATGGAAATTTTTGTTCAGGCTTGTCTAGATCAAAATTTCACTCATAAGGGGAAAGGTCTATTCAGCTTAGCTCTGAGCCTCGATTAAGGATGATCATCGCACCCCTAAGTCATGTCCAAACAGAGTCGTTCACTCTATTTTGATATTTTCGTAGATTAAAGATGAATCATTCCTGGAAGATCTCAATAATATACTGAATGCTGGCGACGTTCCAAACATCTACCAGCCGGATGAGCTCGACAATATCTATACGACAATGAAACCCATTGTCCAAGATTCTGGCCAACCTCCAACCAAAGCCAATCTCTACTCGGCATACACAAAATTGGTCCGCTCTAATATTCATCTGGTCGTATGCATGAGGTAAAAACATATCTGTATTCGTCTGTATCTAAAATACAAAAGTTAAGGTTTTGAAAGAACCAGCTTATTTTTAAACCTGAAGTGATTTCTGTTTTTTACGTGCGTAATTGCCTACGATAAAAAAAACTGAACGGATTTGAAATTAATTTCGCAAACTTCGCAAAACAGCTATTAGTATCCAGTTTTTGATATATATGGCCTCTTTGGGTACTTATAATGTAGAATAATGAAAAAAAATTCTCGAACACAAATTTTGTAAACCAGGGGGGGGGGGTGTCTTTTCCGACAAACTAAAAATGGCTTGCGCACGAGATTTAAGAGCTTTAATCGTATTTTGAGTTAATGGATGAAATTTCAGACAATTTGCTTCAGTTTAAGCCTTTAACTATTCATGCGAACTTACATTTTTCCTAAATTGCCCATGCTTAATTAATGCATTTGCCCAATTTGCATATGTCAGTGATATGCAAATTAGGTAAAGGCATTAATTAAGCATGCGAAAGGCTGATTTTGTAGAGAAAAATGGATAGCAGGATGGATAGTTAAAGGGCTTTTAAAAACTAAAGCAAATTGTCTGAAATTTTGTACAGTAATTAAAAACCCAACAAATGGACCTTTCCCCTTATAACTAAAATTTCGATCTAGACAAAAATTTCATCACAGCTTGAAAGAGCATCACAAAATTAGTAATATTCCAAAGTTTTGTTGCAAAATCTTGTAAAATGCGGATAATATAGCTTGCGAAGTCCGCCGTTTTTCAGTCATTTTATATTACAAACGGGAAATTGACATACGATTCGGGTGTTGGGGCTGCAATTTCCCGTTTGTAATACAAAATGACTGAAAATTGCAAATTTCGCAAGGCTCTATTTTCCTCATTTTACAACATTTCGCAACGAAACTTTGGAATATTACTAATTTTGTGATGCTCTTTCAAGCTGTGATGAAATATTTGTATAGACTTGCCTAGATCAAAATTTTGGTTATAAGGGGAAAGGTTTATTGAATTTCGTGCGCAAGCCATTTTTAGTTTGTTGGAAAAGACACACCCCCTGGCTCACAAAATTTGAGTTCGAGAAATTTTGTTCATTATTCTACCTTATAAGTACCCAAAGAAGCTAAATACATCAAAAACTATATATACTAATTAAATGGCTCTTTTGCGGAATTGATACACCCTGTATAACGCGAAAAACAAATTTTGTCGAAATATTTAGTGTGATGTTGGCCTGACTTTAGGCCTTTTGTTGTTGAATAATTCACATGAGATGTATTTCATTTCATGTAACAGTCATGTGTAAATGAACTTCATTCCGTTTTCCAGTCCAATAGGCGAGATATTCCGTGCGAGATTGCGTCAATTTCCATCGCTGGTCAACTGCTGTACAATAGATTGGTTCTCAGAATGGCCCGACGAAGCTCTGCAGTCCGTAGCTTCGACATTCCTTGGAGAAATACAAGAGCTAGAAGACTCGCCTTACACACAAGGCCTGGTTAGTATCACAGTCAATTTTAGCTGAAATATAGGCTCGATACACACCTACAACCCAAAATATATATGCCGAATACTGTTTAGTAACAATTTTATTTTTATTTTTTTGTATAAACATATTTATTTTCACTAGCGTTTGCCCAAGAGCATGAAGCTCATTTACGGGGCTCACGCTACACATTTTCACACTGATAAAAAAAAAGAAAAATTTATTACACACGGAAAGTTGAACTGAACTGGTTCCCTTGTCAGTCAGATTAACACATATTCAACTATTGAAGGAAACGTTTGTTGAACAAACATAAAAAGATTCAGATTCTAACATAACCAAATTCGTAGAACCGTGAAGAAAAATGTTGACTTTTTCTAAATCCTAATCCTTTAACAAATAGTGAGTAACAGATTCATGATCCTCATTACAAGCACATATTGAAGACAGTTTACATTTAACTTTAAACAAATAATAATTTAAGCCACAACAACAACTTTATGATATTTCTTTGAACAGGTTGACATGTGTGGCGCCATCCATCAAATGGTGGCTCGGAAATCCAAACAATATCTTGCCGAATTGTCCAGATATAACTACGTTACTCCAACGAGGTAGAGGCAACTGCTTTTGTACTATGGCAAATCTTTTGTACTCCCAATCAATTACATGAAGTTTTTTTTTTGTCTTCCAGTTACCTTGATTTGTTGGGAACATTTAGAAAACTTGTTTCGTTAAAGAAATCTGAGATCGTGAATGCAAGGATTCGAACCAAAACTGGTCTGGACAAGGTATCTTTATATGCCTTGCCTTCCAAGGAACTCCGATGATAATTCTTAATAAATTTAGTATATTTAAAGGGAAATGGCAATATAGTTTTTTTATTTTCTCATTTGAAAGAACTTTTTAGGCAATATATAATACTCTTTTACCGTTTTTTCATATCTTGCTTACTTCTACAAATATTTTGATCGAAAGGAATGAAATGGCCGCCATCTTCGATTTTTCTAGATATGCATGTCACGTCACAACAGGGGTCAACGCAATATTTTTATCTAGACAACCACTAATCATTTTGCACTCAAAACCATACTCTATCTTCCCTTCAAAATATCAAGATCACTCAAAACCTTTACTGTCGATGCAATAGAAGTGTTGATACAATATTGCAGCAATTCCTTTCCTCAAGTTGATCAATTCATTTGATAGAAAATTGATCAACTTCCTGTTACTTTTAGATAAGCCAATTAGATTTCGTTTCAGAACCGATTGACCAATAGGAAACGCACAGGAAGTAAAAAGAAATTTGAATTCGTATGAATTGATCAACTTGTGGAAATGAATTCATGCAATATTTTATCAACACTTCCATTGCATTGACAGTAAAACATTTACCAATCAATAATTGGTCAGCAACGAATACTTTTATATGGTCAATCCCTGTTGTGACGTCACCAAAACCACTGTTAATGAGATCAAAAATTTATTCAAGATGGCGGACATCTCATTACTTCAAGTGAAAATATTTCAAGAACTAAGCAAGATATGAAAAATCGGTAAAAGAAGTTAATATATAGTTTCAAAAGTTCTTTCAAATGAGAAAATAAATAAATAAAGTAAAGATTCATGTTATTTTTCTAGTTGCTGTCCACAGCCGAAGAGGTTGAAAAACTACAAGAGGAGCTCGAATCAATGCAGCCATTACTGGCACAGGCAGCCGTAGATACTGAGGAGACAATGGAACAGATTAAGAAAGACAGTGTAAGTCTTCTATTCTTGTTTCTGGGTTTCTGTTAATATGTCGCCTATTTGGGCACTACGCTGTTTTTAGATCGGGTTTTGGGTTGTTTTTAGCACACTAAAGGTAGAACAGTTTAAAACTTTTTGAACTTTGCGTTCAGGAAAGTAGTTTAGAACTGATAGAGCTATCCAGTAGAAGTAAAATTAGTTTAGTTTAGGTTTCCTCCTGTAGTAACACTGGATCAATAAGAAATTATCCTTACTGCACCTTTAGGAAGAACAATTTAGCACTGATAGAGCTATTCACTATAAATAAAGTTAGTTTAGTTTAGGTTCCTCTTGTAGTAACACTGGATCAATAAGAGATGACCATTACTGGACCTCTAAGAAGAACAGTTTAGAACTGATAGAGTTATTCAGTATAAATAAAGTTAGTTTAGTTTAGGTTTCCTTCTGTAGTAACACTGGATCAACAAGACATTGCCCTTACTTGTAGGACTTTAAGGAGAGCAGTTTAGACAAGATAGGATTGATAGCATTTATTATTGATATATACAACTACAATACATGATTAGCATTTAGCATACAACTGCAGCGGCCTCCCATCTTTCTTCGTGCATTTCAGGAAGTTCTTCCCAGGTAAAACGATCAAATTTGAAGTTTTCAACCGACTTGTCATTGTGGCCTCCCATGACAATCAGGGTGTCTCCGACAACTGTAGCCACACATCCTCTCCTCTTGTGCTTCATGTCCGGTAACACGAAACTCTTCTGGGTCTGGACGTTGTATATTAAAGCCGTGTTTAATGGTCGATCGTTGCCGTCAACACCACCCATTATAATGACATTGTCATCACCCCACTTGACTGTGGCCATCTCGCTTACGGGGTAGGGCAGGGCTGGTAACTCCTGACATTCATTCTGCGCAATATCATACAACACAACAGTTTGATGATTTGTTGCATTGTATCTTTCTGCTCTCCCTCCGAGGATCACGATCTTGTCATCAAGCAGTACTACACCATGACGATGTCTTGGCTGTGGCATTGTAGCCAACGCTTTGGTGGTGTAAGGTGGAACCAGAGAAATCTCTGTAATACTGTTAGAATATGCTCTTTGTCCACCATCAACACCTCCAATAACAATCAACCGTCCGTTATAAACTACACTGCGGTGTCCGTATAATTGTACGGGTAACTCAGCCGCAAACTCTTCCCATGTTATGGACTGATCCACATGAATGGCATTTGTCGACAATTTTTCCATGGACTTGTTTCCACTGCTGTTGAAAAAGCCTCCTATGAGGATAATTTGATTGTTGTAAACGATTGAAGACGCTGCCAGACGGCATTCTCTCATTGGTTGCAGCGGTGTCCATGTTCTACTCGACACACTGAACATTTCCACGGAAACTAAATCTCCCCGTCGATTCCGGCCTCCAGCAATGACCAACATGGGCTCTCTGTCCGGTTTATTATCTTCTGCAATTGCTCTCTTCATCACTTGTTGTTCAGCCTGAACATTATCCAATGTTTGTGTCGTTCTTTGAAGTTGTTCTGCCATTTCACACAAATTGTAATTCCCGATATTGCCTGCCTCGAGCCGACAATTGCTTTCTTCCTGTTTTCTGAGTTGTTCTTGAACCTGTGGGATTCTTGCACAAACGTTTCCTAGATCCATCTTATTTCTGTCCAACTTTACATTCATCGCCGCCAATTTAACTTTCACTGCATCCATCTCGCGTCTGATGTCGCTACAGTTGTGGCACTTGACTCTGCGTTGTTCGCACACAGTTGTTTGATGGTGAAGCAAGTCTTGTTTATTCACCTCGAGTTGACATCCTTCATTAGAGCAGACTGCTGGGGCGAAACCGCATTCCGCAACGTGCCCGTTCAGGTTTCCCAGCTCAATAAACCTCCCGCAGCCACGATCGAAAAATTCACATCGAATCATCAACTCGGCCAGTAAGTTTCTTATGCCCCGCGATGCTCGACATAAGGTATCGACAGTGAGCGGTTCCATGCATGTCGGGCATGTCTGAAAGTTCATGAGATGTGTGGTGATACAAGCCCTACAGAACAGATGTTCATTTTGTCCACACATTACCGGATCCTTTAAAACATTAGTACAAATACTACAATGCAATGTGTGGCCGACGGGATGTTGAAATAGTTCATCTTCATAACCAGTGTCGTATAACGCCATTTTCTGTTCTTATCAAGAATCAATTTCTCCCATGTATTTCTTACTAGCCAGCATACACTTTAAGAACAAACATAACAAGATGTTAGGTATCGCGACATATATTTTAAAGACGAAACACTTTTGTTAAAAATTCCGATGTTCAGGAAGAGGTATAGCATCCTAATCAACAAATATATACGGATTTAAAGCATTAATACAAAACTAAAAGACTTGGAATCCGAGGTGAAATCTGTGGATTGTTTAATGGGAAAATTCGGAAGTGAACGGGAATTTGTTTACGATTTATGGTTCTTGAATTCGTCCGCTTTCAAGAACAGGCAGAACAGCCATAAATAAGCTTTCACGTGTCAAAACTGAAAAGGCGAAATCATCTTACCTGGCTTCAATTCCTTCTAGGATCTAGTTGATTTACATCGCTACATTTTTAACACTGTGCCTGAATTCTTCGCAAAAAAAAAACAAAGTCCTTCTGACAATGATGATGTGTCTGTGCATGTATATTTTCAGTTCGATTTGCATACACCTTTTAATTCCTCAGGATTACGGTAAATTATTTTGAAATTTGAAGCCCGGAAATGCCATTTCCTGCGTTCTGAGCACTGTATGTGAAATTTGTCCTCATTGTACGACCTTGTACTCATTTTTCAAGCAAAAATAAGAAAGATCTCAAGAAGTAAAGTATCGCTCGCGTATATCGTAACATACGATACCAGTATGATACGCGTTATCTTTATAGTTTTATATTAGACATCGAGGTATTTAATCCCTCATTAAATAAAGCTTTATTATTATTATTATCATAAGCATGCTTATCATTATCAATCGAATACGAACGGGTGTATCATACGAATACGTGTACCATATGTACGAATACGCATTACAAACAAATATTAGGGCGCTATAAAACAATTCCGATACGTGCAGGTTAATAGCGAACACTACAGTATAAACTCATATTAAAATATTCATGTGCATCTCTTATTATTCATAAGGCTAAAGGCTTACCTGACTGGACATGATTCGTTTTACTATCTGATTTTATTTCTACCTCGACTTATTCATATTCTCTTTAGCTTTGCGACGGCTTTCATTTCGAAATGCGCACAACCGTACTGTGGCTTCCCTTAGCATGTTGTTGATGAGCCAATAAGATATTCCATCGTTCTGGAGCAGTAGCCAATTTCATGCCACCGTAGCAAACTACAGCATTTGCCTGGGCATTCTGATTGGTTTGCTACGTTTGACCGTAGCAAACCAATCAGAGCGAAAATTGACCATATATATGGGCAACACGCTACGGTGTATTTCTGAAGGATGCTATTTTCTAAGCTATAGTCGATTGCCTAATGACCCGCAAACGCGCAATTACAAGCGTATTTTCGGGCGGGAATTCAAATTAACGTTACGTATCAATGTCATCAATTGGTCAAAATAAAATGTTTTAAACATAACTAAATCAAAATAGAACCTTGAAATGTAAACAAGGAAAGTAAATAAAATATTGCTAAATTATATTTTAAATTGATTTTATGAACCATGTTATAACTAGCCTATGACTATGGAAAATCTAACCGTAGCATATGCTACAGTTGCAACGGTTTAAATCCGCCCCTGAATCATTAGTGATCCAAATAAATTTGTAAAACGTAACTTTACTGGACCTCTAGAAAGAATGAGCTGACAGAGCCATATAAGTAAAGTTAGTTTAGTTTAGGTCTCCTCTTGTAGTAACACTGGATCAATAAGAAATGATCGTTACTGGACTTCTAGGAAGAACAGTTTAGAACTGATAGAGCTATCCAGTATAAATAAAGTTAGTTTAGTTTAGGTTTTCTCCGGTAGTAACACTGGATCAATAAGAGATGATACTTACTGGACCTCTAGGAAGAACAGTTTAGAACTGATAGAGCTATCCAGTATAAATAAAGTTAGCCGTTTAGTTTAGGTTTCCTCCTGTAGTAACACTGGATCAATAAGAGATGATCCTTACTGGACCTCTAGGGAGGACACTGTTTAGAACTGATAGAACTGTCCAGTATAAACGAGGCTTATATTTTACTACTCAAATGTGTTACAGGTGGTCGCAAATGAAACGAAAGTTGTGGTCCAACGTGAAGAAATCGAGGCGACAAAGAAAGCGACAGAGACTCAAGCGATTGCTGATGATGCTCAGAGGGACCTTGACGAGGCCTTGCCTGCTTTAGTGAGTGTTTGACTATCTTGTTTGTTTCGTTTAAGTGTTTATCGGTTTGGTTATAAATTTGAAAAATAATTATATTAAAGCCAGAGATGCAAGTTACTTGATATGCACGTTTTCTTGTCAAATTTTTATTTGGTCGTGTTGTACCAGGAGAAGTCGAGAATTCGTCCTTCGGTGTAGTGGTGATACAGTGATTAACACTTTAGATGATCCTTACTGAACTTCTGGGAAGAACAGTTTAGAACTGATAGAACTATCCAGTATAAATAAAGTTAGTTTAGTTTAGGTTTCTTCATGTAGTAACACTGGATCAATAAGAGATGATCCTTACTGAACTTCTGGGAAGAACAGTTTAGAACTGATAGAGCTATCCAGTATAAATAAAGTTAGTTTAGTTTAGGTTTCTTCATGTAGTAACACTGGATCAATAAGAGGCGATCCTTACTGGATATCTAGGAAGAACATGAGTTCAGAACTGATAGAGCTATCCAGTTGTTTAGGTTTCCTCCTGTAGTAACACTGGATCAATAAGAGATGATCCTTACTGGACCTCCAAAACTGGAAAGAACAGTTTTGGCCTTATGGAACTATCCAGTATAAATAAAGTTGGCTTCAGTTTTACTGTATTAGTTTCATTTAGTTTGATTCTTGAGAAGATGCGAATTTAAATCGCGCTTGAAATAACGAATTTCTGTTCTCTGCGCAGTCAAAATTACAGTAATCTAAATGTATTTTCAATATCTATTACCTAAATTATCGTCTCACCATTCTAGGAAGCGGCTTTGACGAGTCTCAAGTCACTCAACAGAAATGATGTAGTTGAGGTAATTGTACTGACCCACGAGAAGCATAACCATCTTGTCTCGTGTTCACAACAAAGTGAATAATATACAAGATAACCTAGCTATATTGTTCTTTTCTAAACCTCCCTTAGGTGCGAGCGCTCCAGAGACCGCCCCCAGGCGTGAAATTGGTCATTGATGCTGTATGTATAATCAAGGGAGTCAAACCGAAGAAAGTTGCTGGTGAAAAGGTTAATTGTTTATGTATTTCGTCTGAAGTGCCTTCATACTTTCTGCTATGATTGGAAGATGTCGATGGGCTATAAAATTAGATTGCCTTGAAATCATTAAATCTTTCGCTAGCTCGAAATGTATTACCATGGATTGTAAAATAACTGGATAGGAAACTTCCTGACGTCACAGTCTAAACCTAGTTGCAATCTGTGACGTCACGCGTATTGCCAAAGTTCTCAGCATTTTTGTTGTTTCGCTCTATTTTCCGCTTTAAAAGAGTAATATTGAAGCATAAACTGGTCTAATTGTTTTAAAAACATGCCTAAGCCACGACAAAGTATTCAAGGTAAATGTTTTTCGTCTTTGTTTTGTATTTTTTAACATTTTTAGCTACGAAATTTGCGATGCATTTTTCACTGTTTAGTGCTTGAAATATTTGCTAAAATTGACCGGGAATACTTAGAGATTTCATCGTAGAATGGCGTAGTCATACTTATTTGCTCTTTGACTAAATGTTTAGCTGTATTATCGCTAAACATGCCGTTTTTGAGAATTTGGTTTGCAACTAGGTTTCAACGCCATCATCCCATTGAAAACATTAGGTCACGTCAGCTAGTATCTTATCCATGTATTTTATTATCCATGGTATTACTAACATTTTACGAATTATATTTCTTCCAGGTTGGGACGAAGGTTGATGATTATTGGGAACCTGGCAAAGCTTTGCTACAAGATCCTGCGAAGTTTCTGGAAGGTCTCTTTAAATTTGACAAGGTTAGTTTACGAATATAGCCTCTTTATTTATTCTTCAAATATGCAGTCACACGGGAATATTACGTCACACTAAGAATTCATCAGATGTTGTCTTTCTGAATTCGTATTAACTATTACGCCAATGAATGAAAGCGATCATTTGAAGCTCTGTCGAAGTGAAATAGGACAAATTTGACGACTAAGGAAGCGGTCATTATTTATGGCGGGGGGATGACAACGAAGAGAAATGTTTTTCTTGGTAAAAAAAAACTTGCTTATCCAAGCATTAAAAAGTCAAAACCGCAAATATCAATTAAAGAATACATACCCACCCCTGGCCAAAAGCTTTACAAAAGGACAGCCTAGACCTAGGCCTTCTAGTCTTATTTATATTTTTAATATTCAGCGCTTTTTCACAGGAAAAGACTGGGACTAGGTGATTTGGGGGCGGGGCGGAGGAAGCAAGCCTAGAAGGCCTAG